GGAGGCCCGTCTCCCGAGGGCTGCCGGTCCCTCCCTCCTCCCGTCCCTCCCGTTCCGTGAGCGGCGCTGTAAAGCGCTCAAGAATAGCTCTCCAACGATGCCCATAAAGTGGTAAGAGCGGGAGGGAGCGGGAGGAGGTCGAGCGAGGACGCGGCGGCCTCGGAGCTGCGGGCTCGGCTAACGCGCCCACGTGTTTTGCCGTGTGTGTCGCAGAACGCGTCGCGCTCGCATGCTCTGTCTACTTAGAACGCGCGCCGTCCTACGATACTTCATTCCCTTTCACTACATTAGCTATAGTTGGACCTCTCAGATAGGGTCATTATATGAACTCATTTTTTCTTGGAAATCGGGGTTTTAGGCCCTTATTCGGTGCAACTCGGATGTCCGAAGGCCCTTTCATCACGCTATATGGGCATAGAGCGAGGAAAAAAGTCCCTAGGTATGTAGCTAGATATAGAACGAGAAGCAGCACTGGCGAGGAGTAGAGCGGGGCGAGCGCAACGCGTTCTGCGACACACGCGGCAAAACACGTGGGCGCGTTAGCCGAGCCCGCAGCCCCGAGGCCGCCGCGTCCTCGCCCAACCTCCTCCGTCTCCCTCCCGCTCTTACCACTATATGGGTCTCGTTCGAGAGCTACGATCAAGCGCTTTACTGCGCCGCCAACGGGACGGGAGGGAGGGGAGGAGGGGAGGACCGGCAGCCCGGGAGAAGCGGGCCTCCCGGGAGGGCTGTAGAGTTGGGAAGTCGCGGTGTGTGCAGTTAGGAATGCGGGGAGTGTAGTTAGGAATGCCCGGGGTGCGGTTGGAAACGCGCGAGGTGTGTGTAATTGATCCGCGAATTTTGAAACAAACTGACCGCCATATAGCTATGCAGCGCTCAGATAAGAGTAACATCGCGCAACGGAATGAGACACGCACTCTTCTCATCATTGCCGACCAGTTCTTCTTCAAACATACCACCACTTCCACATCCGTTCGCGAGGGATAATCATTCACGCTAACAGCCCACCGAACTAAGACATTTGCGGATGACGTCCATGTAGTCGATTCATCGCCACCGAGCTATCTAGGACATGAGTATACGGTAGATATCTACAAAGGGGAATGTTGTTGACCTTGGTTTCATTCGCTAAGATGGTCCTATCTGCGATGATCGCGCAGAGAGCTTGCGCAAGGCCGACGTCGACCAGCCCATCCCAGACAGTTCGTTGCTGCGGACGAGTAAGATTGCTGGTCAAAGATAGGAGAGCGCGAAAGGCGGGCTCGTGGTCTGCTCCGGTATCTCCGTCGTCAGTCATCGGTGTGTCGTCGCGAAGGCGCAGGAGCTCGACGACGCGCTCCGGCTGTGAGGCTAGTAGAGATAGCCATCTACCCTCTTCCACGGATGGGTGTACGATAGACATGAGGGGAGACGGAAGAAGAGTGAGAGCGCTCGTGGTAGCCTGGGATGCGCTTGATAGAGTTCATGTGCCGGGAATCACCCCACTACCAAGCAGGACAAAGGACCGCTGGACAGCGATCGTGATGCACATGATGACCAGGACGCCAGACTGCAAGCATATTGTTGCGTTGATATGTCTCGCGAAAGAATGTGCAGATTGCGTTGACTCGCAGATGGTGGTGGAAGGAAGAACACGCCCCCCCATGGACCCATGAAACCAAACTCGAACGCGCTTCACGTGCAGTCTATCCCATGTGACCGCGTCCAAGACGCGCGCGGCACGACGCGACCTAACCGCGTCTCTCTCTCTCTCTCCACCATCGTCTCATGGTTTCTTCCGACGCTGAGTATGATGGCGTATGTATCATATCTTCCATCAATCGTATTCCAAAGTCTGATGGTGTTCAGCTACAACAAGCCTTGGAAGAGTCGCGCCTGATGGCCCAAGGGTCTTCGATTGGCCCCGCCGCTGCGGCGAACACGAAAGCATCAGGTTCAGGTTCAAAGTCAGTTTCCAAGGGAAAGACGCCGGCCAAGTCTACAAATGAGAGGAACAAGACTTCCGCAAGGGCCCGCGAGTCCAATTCCGCCCCTTCATCATCGTCCGCAATCGCGTCTTCTCTGATCGTCGATGATGAGCCGGATGCGGGGGACTGGACACCAGCGCGCGCGGCAAGCTTGAATACGCTCAAGGCTCAACTGGCCGCACTTGAAATCGAACGTGCGCGTACAGATGAGGCGCTCGCAGCACTCAAGAGGCAGAAGGCGGAACAGACTGCACGTGCCGAAGAACTTGAGGGACAGATTGCCGCATTATCTTCGGGCAGCGAAGGGAAGGGCAAGGCGCGGGCGAATGGGAGGGAGGACTTTATGACGGAACGCGACTGGACTCGTACACTCAAGAAGAAGATGTCGGAGGTATTCGATATACCCGGGTTTCGGCTCGTGCAGGAAGGGTATGCGCCCCAATCTTCATCGGCATTGTTATGCTTACAGTACTAACGAGCGTATCAGGGTCTGCAACGCAAATATGGCTGGGCGCGATATCATTTGCATCATGCCCACGGGTGGTGGCAAGAGCTTGACGTACCAGCTACCCGCATTGCTACAGCCAGGCTGTACACTCGTGATCAGTCCACTGCTTGCACTCATCACCGATCAGATCATGCATCTTCGCGAAAAGAATGGTCTGTCCTTCCACGGGCTTTCTGAGACAAGTGTGCTTATTCTGGACGTAGTTCAGGCGGAGATGTTCACGGGTAGCGCAACCACGGCGAAGAAGAACGAGATCAAGCAGCGCCTTATATGTGCAGCTACCGGCGCACATGATGCGCAGGGTGAGCTCAAGCTCCTCTATGTCACGGTACGCACGTCTTCTTCCGCATCATCATTCCAGTTCTCATTGGTCGTAGCCAGAGAAAGTCTCTAAGAGTAAACAGTTCTTCGCACAGCTGACAAAGCTTGCGGAGGCTGGCAAGCTCTCCCGAGTCGTTATCGATGAGGCCCATTGCGTCTCTCAGCTCGGTCACGACTTCCGGTCCGTCTTGCGAGCGCGAGGTCATACGCTTGAGTGAGGTACTGATGTTTGTGTAGACCTGACTACAAAGAACTGAGCAAGATTCGCACCCACTTCCCGCACGTACCAATACTCGCACTCACGGCAACTTGTCCGCCCGCTGTTCTGAAAGACATCATCAAGATCCTACAACTCAGACCCATTACGCCCGGTAACGGTATGTCCGCTCAGATCGGATATATTGGAGTCGCTGATGAAGGTCTAGATGCGAACGC